AAATCAATTATTAAAATCATTCTTCATACTTATTGATATTTATTTGAAAAATTATAACTACTTAGAGATCAATTGCTATCTTTTAATATTCAATTTTTTTTTTTTCTGATATGCGAATGATTTATATAAATGAATATCAAATACAAACGGACTTTTTCCAAAGTTTGCTTCAACCATCTGACCAGGATATCGTAAACCTACCATAGGATAAAATTTGCATAATGGTATGTTTTTGAAGGCAATACCTATATAAATATATACATATTATTATTATTATTATTTAGTATTGATTATATTATAAAATCAATAAAATAATAAAATATTGTTTTAATAACAACCTAAATTTATCCCATTTTTTGTAAAAAAAACATCTCGAGTCTTATAATTAATGCAACAACCTATTACATCTCCGTTTCCATAAGTTGTCGAGTATGGTGTACCGTTAAATTGCGAATGAAATATATTACCATCATCACCATGATATCCATAAGATCCTGGAAGCCACCCTAAATAGATATATATTTAAAATACCGTTATTAAACAATTATAATTCTTGTCCCACTTTTTTATATATATATATAAATTACCTGGTAATTGTCTTACTGATGTTTTTGCCGTTCCAAATCCAACACTTATTTTCCTACATAAAAAGAACTAACCTCATTAAAATATATTATTGATTATAATGAATGAAGAAACATAATTAATATATTTTACCTTTCAAAACCAAAATCACAACCATCTTCTATGATATGAACTTCGAAATATACTATATTCATAGTCCATCGAAATGGATTATTAGTAATTAATGTAGCTCCTTCATCATCGTTTCGACCAAGACCTATAAAATCAGAATAATTTGAAATGATATTATCATTCAAAAATTATCTCATTTAATTATTAATTTAAATTTTATTAATACCGCTATACATTATTTTTAGATTATTATCATAAATTGTTATTAGTCTTGACGCTTTACTTCTGTTCCATCTTGTTGGTGTTTCAAATTCATTATCGTTGGTTGATGAGATCATTTTTTATTGTAAATTTTACACAAATAAGTATCTAATAGCATAACAGGCTTTGATTTGATTGGATGATCGACCGAAATGTTTTATATAGTAGCGTAACGTATCGCAGTCACAAAAATGTATTGTTAGTTTAGTCATGAATACGAATCGGAAAACTTGTAACCAAAAAAAAAAAAAAAAAAAAATCTCTAAAGAATTCGGTATGATTTATAAACTGTAATCCGCGAAGTATTTCGGGAAGTCAGATGTTTTGAACATTCTTAAATTTATTGTTTAAGCTTAATCCATTTTAAACTATTGAAATCAGATGATGCTGAATTTTATCTATCGCTATTTATTATGAAATTTTAAAAATTTCTAGGGCCTTTTTTGTAGC